TTACCCTTGGCTGTATTTTATTGATAAGAAGTAAGTTACTTGTACCCTGCACCTTGAGATCCAGCCCACACTCAAGGCACAAGGGTATGAATACTAGGAGGTGGCATCACTGGGCCATTCTAGAAATCTGATTACAATGCCAAGTAAGCACCCAGGTGCTCACAGTCTCAGACAACAGCCAGGCAGGTGCTGGGAGAGCAGCTTGAGTAGAACCTGGTCCTAGCCTTGAAAACCTGAAGTCTATTAGAGACACACAGACATGCCACACGAGTGTCTCTGGGCTAACTCAAAGACACTGAGGGTACAGTGGGAGCACCCAGGAGGAAAGGCAGGTTGACCCAGCTGGCCTCCATAGCACTTGGAGGTTGGAGCTTTTGTCATCCTCAGCTTATAGACAAAGACTGAGGCCTCAGGAAGTGGAGCTGGGCAGTGGTGGAGCCAGCTTTCCAGCTGGCTGCAGAGCTTATGATCTTAGCTAATGCACCCCACCCCACCTATGGAGCAGGAACATGTTTGCAGCTCAATTTTGGCCAGTCCTGTATATCTGAGTGTGTGGGAGGCTGGGAGGCCCATGACAAATCAGCCCTGTCTTGACAGTCATCTAATTGGAGAAACATTAATCAAGCCCCAGTGCCAGGGATCGTGGCTGGCACTCCCTGAGATAAGTATTTATCTCCCTCCAGAAACGCATGAGGCAGCTCCCTAGCCAGCTACCCCAGCAGGAGTTCAGCTGTGCCACAGTGAGAGAACCTCATAGAGCGAGAGAGTGACTCACAAGAGTACTGGGAAGGCCAGGTGTGTCTCAAGAGCTACATCACCTTGCAGGCAGGACTCTGAGCCAGCAAGTGGCAAGATTAGCTCTGTGTCCTAGAAAACCACTTTGGCAATAGTAAGCAAAGTCTAGGGGGTGGGAGATATGCCAGTTAGCACAGGAGAACCAAGGAAGACTGGACAGGAAGGAGTCCAGTGACTCCCAGGCTCTGACAGTGTCCCTTAGGGCCAGATGCCTAGTGAGGCTGCCCTAGACCCACCTAGCCCTGGGCCTGTAGGCAGGTAGAGCCCCTCCCCTCTTGTGCCTGGAGCACCTGCAAATGGCTCGACTACAGCTACAAGGAGGAGAAGGGGAAGGAGAAGTGTCTTCTATTTTTCTGTCATAGAACATGACCAAGTGAAGGTATGAGACCACCTATTGCCCCCTCTACACACAGTTATCATTTTTACATTCCATTCTGTAAGAAAAAGGTTTCTGAATCTGTAATTCTTCTTGCTGTTCCCATAGACTGAAATATCTGATTTAATATGGCCACCTGGAAGCCCCCAGCTGTCGAACCCCCATCTTTTCTCCCTTGGTTACCCCTGCCTGAGTCCCTCTCCATTCATGTCCCCTCCCCCATGTCAACCCAGGACTGGTCTGATAGGGTGGCACAGGGCACCAAAGGCAGGGACTCTCTCTCCCCCTTGCTGCTGACAGAGGGGCACAGGCACAGGCTGCTCAAACCCTGGCCAAGCAGCTACAGGTGGCAGTGGAAGGGGAGCCATGGCCAGTCCCTGGGGTCTTGGAAAGAAAAGGCAAGGCCTGAGTGGATGCCTAGACTGAAAGCTCTGGAGATTTGTACCAGCAGGAGGCCAAGCTGTTGAGAAGTTTTAGAGTTTTTTTTTTTCTTTTCTTTTCTTTCTTTCTTTCTTTTCTTTTTTTGGAGACGAGTCTTACTCTGTTGCCCCAGGTTAGAGTATCATGGCAACAGCCTAGCTCACAGCAACCTCAGACTCCTGAGTCCTCCTGCCTCAGCCTCCCCAGTAGCTGGGACTACAGAACCCTCGACTACATCCAGCTTATTTTTCTGTTTTTAGTAGATATGGGGTCTCACTCTTACTCAGGCTGATCTCAAACTCCTGAGCTGAAGATCTTGGCCTCCCAGAGTGCTAGAATTGATTTATTGAGGCATAATCTACATACCTCATAAAATTCATCCATTTTAAGAAAACAACTTGAGGATTTGGGGCAAATTTATAAAGCTATGTGATCATGGCTACAATCCAGTTATAAAACGTTTCCATCACCCCCAAAATCCTCTCATCTCCCTTTGCCGTCAGGCTCTTGTCCCTACTCCTGGCCCCAGGAACCACAAACCTGCATTCTGTCTCCAGACATTTGCCTTTTCTGACATTTCGTATGAATAGAACCATATAATCACTTACCATGATGTTTCTGAAGTCCATCTATATTGGAGCAAATGTCAAACTCCGTTCCTGTTTATAGATGAACAGTACTACATTATGTAGGATATACCACATTTTGTTTATCCATTCACCAGCTGATGGACATTTGGATTGTTTCCAAGCTATAATAACACAACAAACACTGGCTTGTAAGTTTTCGTATGAACATACGTATTTTTCACTTGTTTATGAGGAGCAGAATCCCTGGGCTGTACGAAAGTTTATGTTTAACTTTTTAAGACACTGCCAACCAGCTTTCCAAAGTGGCTGCCCTATTTCGTACTCCTGTCTGTTGTTTCTGTCTTTTTGATTAGTCATCCTAGCAGGTATGAAGTGGTACTCCATGGTGGTTTGATATGCGTGTCGCTGATGACCAATGGCATATTTTCTTTTGTCTTACTGGACATTTAAAATGTAGTTTCTTTGCAGAACTGTTTGTCCAAATATTTTTTCCATTTTTTAACTGGGTCATCTGGATTCTTTTTGAATGTGGGACTCCTTTATCTCTTCCGGATACAAGTCCTTTATCATATATATGCTTCACAAAAGTTTCTCCTAGTCTCTGGCTTTTCTTTTTCTTTTGTCAGTCACAAACAAATGGGGGGAGGGGTCAGGGATGTATGAAAACAAACCATCCTTGACCCTCCCATTGGTATGTGACTGTTTTAAGTGGGTGTCTTATAAGAGCAGAAGTCTTCCATTCCAGTAAAGTCCAGTTGATCAGCCTTTTCTTTTATGGATCCTGCTGTTGATGTCATATGGAAAAAATCTTGGCCTAACTCAAGGTCACAAAGGTTTTCTGTTCTGTTTTCTTCTAGTAATGTTACCGATTTAGCTCTTACATTCAGGTTCTGTGATCTACTTTGAGTTTATTTTTGTAAATGATGTGAAAAGTTGTTCTTTTCCAAGTAAATATCCTATTGCCCTAGGACCACCTGTGGAAAAAACTACACCTCCCCCCACCCCACATTGAATTTGCCTTTGTCAAAAATCAGTTGGCCAGGTTTGTTTTTGAACTTTCCCATCTGTTCCACTGATTTGTCTGTTCATACACCAGTACCACACTGGCTTTAATTAATGCAGCTTTATATAAATAAGTTTTGAAACTGGAAAGACAAGCCTTCCAGTCTTATTCTTTCTGAAAATTGTTTTTGGCTCTTCTGGGTCCTTTGCATTTCCATATAAATTTTAGGATCAGCTTATCACTTTCTCAGGAAAAAAAAGAAGAAGAAGAAAGTGAGCTAAGACTCTGATGGGGTTTTGTTCAATTTATAGATTGATCTAGGAAGAACTGCCATCTTCACAACACTGAGTCTTCCAATTCACGAATGTGACAAATATGGAACATCTCTCCCTTTAGTTTTATCTATGTAAATTTCTCCCATCAATGTTGTGTAGTTTTCAGCACACAAGTCTTGCATCTCTTGTTGTTTATCTCTAAGCATTTTATCCTTTGGATGTTACTGTGAGTGAATTTTCTTAATTTCATTTGTGAGTTGTTGATAGCATGTCAATTATGTTAACTTTTCTATGCTGGATATTGTGACCTTGTAGGACAGTCTTTTGGTGAGTTAGGAGCTGTCTGTGGTTCCAGCCAAGAGAACTACAGACTAGTCAAGAGTGGAATTAGAAGCCTGCCTCCTACCTGCTCCAGAGACCTGCCTTCCCCCACCTCTCACCCCTACCCCCACCCCTCACCCCTACCCCCACCCCACCTCAGCAGGTCCAAGGATAAAGGTCTCCTCACTTAAGGGCGGTGCATAACTCTTGAGCCAGCTCCATTAGGAAGTTCTTCCTTACACCACCTGCAGTCCACATCCCTGTCCACTCTGCTGGATGCTCTGAGGCTGGGTGAACAACTCCACTCCCCCTCCCTCAACACAAGACCAGCCTCTACTCAGTGAGGCCCCAAAATTGGAGACCAGGCAGCCCTCTCTGCCTGGCCTGTCACTTGAGCACACAGTCCCTCTGCAGCCTGAGACAGCACTGCTTTCGTGGTAGCCACAGAACATCTTAATCCCAGGAGTGTGTTTTTGTTTTTAGGTCAAAGTACAGAGGTTAGGGCTATAAGGGATTTTCCAAGTGCTGCATATATACTAAGCCTTCTGGGGCTCTTGGAAGACTTCCTCACAAGGCAAAGGAGTAGAGGTAAATGGCTCGTGCTGTGAGCTGGGTGCTCTCTGAGCTGGGTGCTGCAGTGGGCTCCTCACGGTCAGTGCCCAGCCTCATTCTGAGCACCCTTCTGGCACAATCCCCAGGGGCAGGACAGTTTCTATTGGTTATATACAGAATGATTTTAGGAAATACACGGGCTATCAACTCACAGTGAGGAAATGACTGTTTTAACATACCTTCCAATCCCCTCAGTTATGATGGTAAGTCTCTGTTAGTGCTCATATGTCTTTATCACTTTCTTTCCCCTTGGAATCTCCTCCCTAAATTTTTTTAAATATCTTGAGGAGATAGCATAATTTGATTATCTATTAATTATCTGGTTTTCCATTTAAAGTAGTAACATAAGTTGCCTTTTAAAATAAATTAAGAAAAAGATTCTCAGTTGCTAAGAAGAAATAGTTACTTAAGTAGAGTTGGCCCACACAGATGGCATTCTGGGCTGTGTGAGATGTGGCCTGCAGTGGGGTGCCCAGGGCAGCGGGGCCCTGCAGAGGAGGGGCTTCCCCAGGCCCACAGACCTCACCCCAGCCCTGCAGGGTAACACTCCGCATGCTGGGGTGGACCCTAAGGGCACTGACCCCTGTGCACTGTGTCTCCCACTGCAGGTGTGGCGGGCTGGGGCTGGTGCTGGCCAGCGCGGGCTTCGGCATGCTGACGGCCCCCATCATTGAGCTGCACAACCAGAAAGGCTACTTCCTGCACCACATCATCTTTGCCTGCTGCACGCTCATCTGCATCATCTGCATCCTCCTGCTGCCCGAGAGCAGGGACCAGAACCTGCCCGAGAACATCTCCAATGGGGAGCACTACACCCGGCAGCCGCTGCTGTCGCACAAGAAGGGAGAACAGCCGCTGCTGCTCACCAATGCCGAGCTCAAGGACTACTCGGGCCTCCACGACGCCCCCGCTGCAGGCGACGGGCTGCCAGAGGGCGCCACAGCCAACGGCATGAAGGCTATGTAACCAGTGGCACAGTCCTGTGGGAGCCTTGGGACAGTTTGGCACAGGTTTACAGACCAAGGACCAGATGGTGGCCGGGGATGGGCAAGTCCAGCTCTGCAGCTGCTGCCAGCCAATCATAAGACTTTCAACTGGTGTGGGGAAATTCTCTTTCCAAAAGTCCAAGAAAGCATGGGTTTGAGGAGACTTAACTCTTTGGAAATAATCCTTCAAAGACTTTCTTTTTTGCCATTAAATATTTGTATTTATTTTGGTCATTTTTACGAGAAGCACTTTATTCCCTCTCCCTCTCACTGATTGCAGAATGGAACCATCTCCTTCGACAGCAAGAGACAGTCACTCCAGGGAAGATGCTGGCAGTGGCCACCACAGTGGCCAGTCTCCTCCCTGGAAGTGGGACACTGTTCCAGGGACACTGCCTGCCACCTGGGGGCCAGATGTCACCTCACCTGCCCAGAGCCCACCCAGGCTGCCTGCCTGTGTACAGAGGCAGGAAACTCTCATGGAGCGTTCTGGGACTACATTTTAGACAGAATGAAATGTAAATGAACTAGGTTTTCCAAGAGTCTGTGTACGGTTTTTTAAAGTCTTTTTTTTTCTTTCTGTTTGTATGGTAAGAGCTTCCGTTCCATGTGTTGAGGGAAAACAGCTCACAGATATCATTAAAACCAGCTTAGTCTTTCTTCTGATCATCCTTTTATACCCGACACTGGAAGCTCTTGGTTTTGGAAAAGCTTAAACATCTGACCAGAAATCTTACATGATCAGCGGTAATATCGCCACAGCTTTCTGACCCAGATTTGCTTCATTAAGTACACAACTATCAAATGTGCTGAGGTCTGAGACGTGTTAATTTTTATTAATAACTATTTTCCCACATTTGGCTCCAGCAGAAAAGTCCCCTCCTGCAGTCAGCTTTTTTGCCGGCACTACTTGAAAACATGACTACTTTCTGACCTACAAACAACAGGAAAAGAACTCACAAAGATGACAGAGGCCAACTCACAGGAGGGAGGGCTGCTCTCCCTAATACGGCCCGTCACCCACATCTCAAGCACATACCACGGAGATCACCAGCTTGGACAGCTGTCACTCTCACTGATGTCACGCCCAGGGGGCACCTGGGGCCGCTGGTCCCCCCACGCCTTCCTCAGTCTGCTTCTTGCTTCTTGTCACTCACTCAGCACAGAGCTGGGGCTTAGGGCAAGGAGTGGCGATTCCTCACAGGTGAGTCCAAATGACCTCCAGCCCCTTGAAAGCATCAAGGCAAACTGAGAGAAAGCAATAACTCACCAAAGTTTAGTTCAAATCCCCTTGGCCCACTCTCCAAGGATTTTCATGGTGTTCCTCATTTTGCCCCAGACAGTGAAGGTTTCCTCGTTTTCAGAGGAAACTTATAGGACACTCAGGGCCACTGAGAAACGAGCCTCCTTGGTGCAGGCAGGCACCACTCTGCAGCAACTCAGGCAGCAGCTTTTCTGGACAACCTGGCTTCTTACTGGAATTGTCCACCTCACCCCTTTCTAAAGTGCATCTTTGCTGTGGTTTGTATCCTTCCAGGAAAATTTTTGCCTCGGGTTTGGGTAAGGCAATTGTGTGAGAGTTGCTAGAATTCAAAGGGCCAGAAAAGGAGTTGACCTTCTCTCCTTCCAGCCTTCCGCCTGGTTTGCTTCTTGCCTTCTCTGCCTGCTTCTCCTCCACATCTGATCCACACATCAGTAGGAGCCCACTGACTTGTAGGCATAGTAAGGGGCAAACACGTGTCCCCTGTGTTTCCAGCAGCTGAACAGAGCCCTGTTCAAGGCCCAGTGCCCAGGAAGGGAGGCTATCTGGCTGGCCTCTTCCCAGCTCCACCTGCTCCAACACATCCTCACCTTCCCTGGTCTCTAAGTCACCTTGTTCCATGTCTCAATGCTAGTGTGCTTTCACCTTTACAAAGGCCTTTCTTCAGATCTGTGCAGTCTTCTTGTGCCAAAATTGTGAGATACCCTTTTTTAGAGTACTTGCTACAAAGCCAATTGGCTTGGCAACAAACTCATTAAATACGGAATAGGGCAAATCCAGCAGCCAGGCAAGTAGGCAATGGGCAGGTGTTAAGGAGCCAGTGAGGCCCCTGGGCCTACACTTGGACAGGCGCACGTCTGCACATTCCCCCAGCAGGAGGCCACCCTGCCATCTACTTACTGTGCTGCAGAAGGTCTTACTAAGCAATGCAAGTCGTGAGCACTCTCACTGGTCATGTAGACCTTTTTTAAGAAATGTATTGAAGCTGTACTAGAAAGGTGTGAACTTCTGGTCCTCCACAGTCTCTGATCTTCTTAAATGACAACAGTGAAAACACTCATCACATCAGCAATGAGAACTAATCTCAATGACTAGAAGCTAGCTTTGAGGCCTAGGCTCTTGGGACCAAAGTCTAGCAGACGTGAGTGAGGCTGACTTGCCAACAGTTGGCAGGTGATTATCTCCTGGCTAGCAAGGAGGTCCCATAGCCCTCTTCTCAACTGCTCCTGTTCTGTTGCCGCCTCGGCTTAATAATATCCGAAGCTCTAGAGGAACACCTCTATGAAATGTAGCCAAAGCAGAAAAGTTTCCCTGCAGGCAGAGCCCCATGATATCCGGTACCAGGGGAGCAAGGCGCACCTAGGCCTGACACACATCCAGGCCCACCTGGCTTCTTGGTCTGGGGGTGTCAGGGGTGCTGTGGCAGCCAGCTTCTTAGCACCAGCCTGTTGAGCTTGAGCCCCTCAGTCCCCTCTCCTTCTTGGTTAGTAGGGAGACACTTCTCAGGCCCCTGCTGCTTCAATTCAGCCCTCCCACCCCCAGGGAAACACAGGAAGCTGTGTCCTCCCTGCTGCTCCCCTCCACCCGGCCCTGCGTCCTGCTAGCCTAAACTGTCAGGGAGCTGTGACCTCTCAATAAAAGTCATGCACAAATGTGAAAACCTGAGACAGAGCTGTATATTCTTCATGTTATTTTCCAAAAGTCGGTAACTCTTTATCAAGTACCTTAATTATTAGCACTCAAGACAATTAGGAAAAAGTTTCAAATGTGTTTGTTTTCTAAGAGTAAAATCACCTGCAACTGGAGGACGGGGCTGGTAAGCGGGTTTGGCCACTTGCAAGGGAAGTATTGCACTCAGACACTACAGCTTCCTAGAGCCAAATGAGAAACGTGGGACTGCAAGTGCCATGAGTGTGTCATCACACCACCCAGCCCCCAGGTGGTGCACGTGCTGGGGGCCACACTTCCACTCTGTCTCCTTGTCTTAAAAAGACACCACCTCACTTTAATGTACTGTGTGTGTTTTGGAAAAGCAGTATGGTGTGTTATGTCTAGTGAGGAATACGTCCCTCCCTCTGTCCTTCCTGCAACCCAGACATTTGAGGTTTTACTATAAGAACCGTGTTACTGTACATGTCGATGGGACTTCTCTGACGGTGCTCGTTCATAGCACAAGCTTACACTGAGTTCTGAACTGTCGTTCGCAGCTGTGTGTCTGCATGGTGTCGCATCTGTTGTACCTTTGGGGAAAATTTGTATGTAAATGTACAGAAATAAAAATGTTGCCCCATTAACAGATTTCCTACGGAATGTCTTCCCTACCTCACCTGATGGTATCCAACAAAGGGCATTTCACTACCATGACGACAAGTAATAAAAATCCTCCATGTTTATTCAGACCTCACTGCGTCACTACTTTTCACGCCTCTGTAAACTGTGTCTTCACTGGCCCCGAGGGGTGGTGGGTGGGTAGCCTCTTGCTCTCCTTTGAGAGGCCTCCTCTCAAAAGGCAGTCAGAGGCAGAGACTGGATTGAACATATGGTTTATCTAGTGTCATTCTCAGACCCCCTGAGAGACTGGGTGGGGTCTCATCAGTCAATTTAAAAGGAATTATTTTCTCTTGTTCATTTATGTTCTGCTGATCTGTGCCCTGAAAGTTCCTAGAGAGGTCAAGAAATGAAAATCTTACACTGTGATTCTGTGAGGAAAGACTGATAACCCAAACTCTCTATTGTAGTATTTTTTAACCAAAAGACAATATTTCTTTAATAAAGTATTTATACCAAACTCTTCTCTCCATAGCCCTGCTTTTGTGTCACTCACTATTCTAATCCCAGAGAGGTGTCCATTCTGCTTTGTAAGCCACAATTATGCAGCCGAGGCCTCCTTTGCAGGAAGTCTCAAAGAAAGGACCAGGAACCCCAGACTTAACTCCTCTGAAGAGCCTCTATGTCCTGGCCAATGTCACTTTTAGTGTCACCACTCCCTCACTGCAAGACTTTTGCCACTGCATGAAACATGTTTCGGGGTCCTGAACTATCTGCCTCCAGGAACAAGAGGGGTCAGATGGATCCCAAAGATTAGAAAATTCTTTGCCAGTGATCCTCAAGCTTGCCTGCGCAGAGAAGCACTTGGGGAGCTTTTTAGTCCTGCCAAAGCCTGGGCCTCAGACCATCTGAACCTCTGGGCAAGGGTGAACACTGGAATGAATCCACTTGAAGTGGTAGATGGAAAAAGGCTAAGAATTAAAAATGACCCAAACAGGTATCTGATGTACTTGGGACTTGGGAGAGAAAGAAAAGAGAAAGGTGACAGGAAGATAATGAAACAACAGGAGGAGCAAGAAGGACAAGAAGCCTTTGAATCCATAAAAATGAAGGAGATAAAACCATAACTGACATCTAACTCCCATGGCGCTTAAGAGTTTGCAAAGCATTTCTACATACTTATCCCTAACAAAAACCCTTCAAGGTAGGGATCATTTCCATTTCCAAGAATAGGAAACAGAGCCCAGAGAAGACCACATAGTAAGTGGTAAGCATACGGTGGGGCCTAAAAGTTACCCAAGAGAGAACACAAGAAGAGACATGCCCAGGGGAAGCCTTTAGCTGAAATGAGAAAAAGATAAATACATCAATTCACAAGACAGACAGAAGCCTCAGGAATGCACAAGTAAACCTAAGGCATATTTATAAAGACTAATTGCCTTAATTCTAATTGGGAACATACATAACAGAGTCATGACTGATTTGAACTCTTGAATTATTAGATTATAGCCTTCAACCCCAACAAAATCCCACTTCCATCCCTTTTCTCTATCACTGACAGCCGAATGAGAGCACACGTACTGCCCACAAGGTCAGCACCAGTCTCTTCCTTCCCCAGGTCCTACAACATGAACCTTTTGGCCCAATGCTGGTGAGAAGGAAAGCTCTTAAGATTAACCCTTTAAATACAAAAATGTGAACACAACATGATGGCAAAATGAAATCCAATCCATTTATTTAAATGTACATTGTACATAAGTTACAAATTCTCACTTCTGCCACTCAGCTAGAACTTTTCGGGGAAAGTCTCCATTTCTTCCTTGATCCTGTTTTCTACAAGTAATGCGAAGTTACTGTCTGTGTTTTGAAGGTTATAGCTGACAAACACCTGTTTGTTGGTCTTCCTGGCTAAAAAGAGAAAACACATTGACACAGCCATGACTGAGATACTGCAGGTCTTATGTTCCCCACACCTGCCTATGGCCGGAAAATGCCTGGAAAAAAAGAGAATGGGGTTGTAGGGAGAGAAGAACGTTCTAATTTTCGACTGTCCTAAGACAGCTGCTGACCCTTCCTAGTCACTAGAAAAGTGGTTCGTAAATATGGTCTCCATAGCAGTAGCACCCCCCAGACCTGGTTAGAGACCCCTGGTTAGAGACCCCAAGGCCCCACTCCAGACCTCCTAAATCAGAAAGTCAGGTTTGGGCAGCAATCTGTGTTAAGCCCTCCAGGTGACCCACACACTAATGTCTGATAGCTGATGCTCTACATAGAGGAGTTTTTTGGTGTATTTTTTTAACTTGTAAAAACACAATATTATTTCAAATAAAATATTAAAGTTCTCTGCTGACTCCACTTCCCTCCCAAAGGTAATCCCAAATTTCTATGTGTTTACATATATAATATATACCTGTATACACATGCAATGTATATACATATAGATGCTATATATATATACACATGATTTTCTGAAACTGAATTAAGTTTTAGCCCCTTTTTATAGAACCTATAACAAACAGTTAATGTGCACTGGTCAAAGTGCAAAAATCAAACAGAGTCATATGCCCAGAATCTGAAAGACAATGTGATACCCTAAAGGGGGCAGAAAGCACCCCAACCCCCCCCCCATACATCCCATAGCCCCAGAGCAGATGCAGGAACCCCTCCTCATATGTGGAGAGACCACAATAGCCTCATCACCAAAAGACAGAAGGTCAGTGCAGTAAGGCTGGGCCACCTGCACCATCAGTAAAGGATGGTTGAGAACACACATCATTGCATTCCATCCAAGTGACAGTTATGTCCTTTTGGTTGCTGCTATCTTACCTACAGTCCCAGCAGGAACCACAGGAGGTAGTATGGCTGGAGGGAAGAGACCCAGCCCCAGGACCTGCTATGGCCTGGAAACCTCTCTGGGCTTCATTTGTAAATGGAGGAAGGGTAGACCTCAAGATCTCAACTATCTGTTTTTCAGCTGTATAAGGCTATGTGTCTGATTTTCAGGGCTAGAAGAGATCTTGGTTATTATCTGATTGCCCTCCTTATAGCTGACACATCCATGGAAAAGGTGAGAGAAGGATGAGCCCAGCCTCTGCCTTGAGGACAGCTGAGTGAATTATATGCCGTGTGAGTTACATCTCAATAAAGCTATTTAAAATTTTTAAAAAGTGGACAGAAGCAGCAGTTCAGTTATCCTAAGAGCCAGTGTTTAAACAGCTTACAGTACTTAACACAGAGCCTCCCACCAGTTTTCTGGGCAAGGTGCACCCAAGGTGGACAGCGATGCTGAGACAGGGATCCACTCAGCCTTGCAAGGAGCGGGGAGCCCTTGTAGATTTTCCCAATTGGCAACACATGAATCTTATCATTTCCAGGGTGCATGAGGCAGTCTGGGATTTGGGGGTGGGGAACCTGCAGCCTGAAAGCCATATCAGGGCCTTCCAGATCCCCAAGTGCAGCCCCTTAATTATAGCCCCTTTATTAAAAGGATTTGCTCTGTAAAATCTGGATTCGGTCAAAAGCTTGCACTCAAGGATCCAGAAGGCCACTGTGGTCCCAAGGCTGTTCCCCACCCCCAAAGGAGCCTGTCAAGTCACACTCTGCCCTTATGAGGGCCAGACAAGTCTCTTCTTCCCCCAAGGGGAACCACCACAATTCCAATCGCTCTAATTGCTAAGAAAGTACTTCCAGGGAACAAAGCTGTGTCTGCCAGCATCAGCCCCCACAGACCCAGCTGTGGCCTCCAGAACCATTTCAGTCCAGCCCCCTCATCCACACCAAAGCCTGCACTGCTCCCAGGACTGCTCAGAACCCCCCAGGGTTTCTCTTTTCCTACTTGCTTTCATCTTCTGCCTAAGTCACGGTTTCAGGACACCTCTCCCTTTTCACTATGATACATGCACTTTCAAGTAGAGGGCCCAGACCTGGGCTGGAGACAACTGGCATAGTACAGGACTTCACTGGATCCAAGTACTGTGTGTTGCTGGTCCCTTTGGAGATGCAGGCAGCCACCTCTTACCACTAACTTCAGGCTATGGAGAACCCTTCACCTTCTGCATACAAACTGATATTAGGCCTCCAGATATTCTGGAGCCTGCTTTACATTAATGGTATAAAACTTACTAATGACACACCAGATGAGCTCCCACCATCCTTCCCTCCCGGAGTCTGTCTCAACAAGCCCACCCCCCTTTCTGCATCTATAAACATGGACACCTTCCTGCATCTTCCTCTGACCAGGCATAGGCACACAGTAATCTGTTACATACAAGCAGATTACCCCTTACACACTGACAAATACACAGTGAGAATCGTGTATTCTCAACTTGGAAACAAAAGAGCATCGTGTCTCAACTTACTTTCATGTGGTTCAAAAAAAAAGAATGATGTAAACACCAAGAGGAAAGAAACTGGAAAATCTGGGTGAAGGCTAAACAGGAATTCTTCTTTCCAACTTTTCTGTAAGTTTAAAATTATTTCCGAATAAAAAGTTACCAAAATTAACTTATTAGTCAAGTATCTCTAACTCCAGGACAGACAAAAAGCACCCTGCAAGTTGCTGAAATGCTGACCTCTGTCTTCCCATCTGACCTCTATGCGTAGAGGTGGGTGCAGTGATTTAGGAGCTGTCTGCTGGTGACAATCAGCCCTGCCCTGCCTCCTGTGCTGGTGGGTCCTCCTCTGCCATGTGCTGTGCTGGTCATGTGAGTGTGCCTCACTATGCCTGGAGATTCCTACTTGCCAGGGATCTGGTACCTCCCCTGCCCAAGATGCAGAAGGGCTCCATGACTGACTCCAGAACCAAAGCAGCTGGAACCGCTGAAGAACAGGCAGACTGAGCAGGAAAACAGGGCTGCCTTCCTGCTCGTGGTCTTGGGGGCATCCAGACACTGGTCACAAGCACTTGGAGCTGGGGGTGACAGAACACATGCCGTCCTTACCTGGCTTACCTGGGGGTATTTACAGAAGTTATGCTAACGTGTGAGGAGAGTGGAGCCTTCAACCTCATGGTCTTTGCATAACCTCCCCCACCACCCCCCACCACCCCAGTCTATGCCACACTCACAGGCCAGGCTGGTCTCCTCTCCAATCCCTGAAGGGTGTCACACTGCGAGTGAAGGGCAGTCCTTCCCACACAGTAGTGACACCTGCTCCACAGGGTTCACCGACTCCCTGGGAGGCTACCGGGGGTGCTGTGGGAATCACTCACTCTTTCCTCCCATGAGGAGGTGATGCACTTATGGAAGGGAATAAATCAGTACATGGGCTCCAAGACAAAGACAGCCAAGGGCGACATGGAAATCCCTTGGGATTATCCTGGCTCTGAGACAGTGGTGGTGACAGGTGAGCACAGATGTGCCCCTGTTCAGACACAGTATGTCCAGGTATGTGCAGTAATGAGGTAATTGTACTTAATATAAAGTCTTTGCTTCAGAAGTGACCTGCTTCATGAATCCATTAAACAGTGGGGCTCCCTGGCTGGCCACAGTACATACCTAGGCGCTGGGCAAGGCCAGTGGAGGTCGTGTCAGAAGTGTCTCCAAGGAGGGAGGTGGACACGGGGATGGAGTCCTAAAAAGAAAAACAAAAAAAGAGTTCACTGCAGTTACACTGCCAGGCACCTGATTCTTCATGAAGGTGGCAGCAGCAGCAAGTCCTAAGAGGGCAGACATAGGTACTGAAGGGAAGAGGGGCTGCCATCAGTGAACAGCCAAGCAGGTGGCCCCCCATGTGTATGGCTGGGGCAGACAAAGAGAAGTCACCTGACACTGGATCCACAGTGCTGTTAATAAGTTCTAAGATTGATTTCCCATAAAGGGTTCATTTACTGTCCAAAACTCCAAAGCATGCGAAAGGGCAACATTACAACCAAGAGGGACACAAACAAGACCATTACAGCCACAGAAAAAGAAAGCAAATCCTAGGGTCTATCCGCCAATGGCCTAGGGGCCCACAGAGGCCACAACCCAGGCAAGATGCCTAATCTCCTCATCTCAGCCTGGGGGAGAACACAAGGCTCCAGTGTGGCTGCAGGCTAGTCTGGGTGCTTTAATGTCATTAAGTACCCTGTGACTTTGAGAAAGGGCAGCAGTGGCCAGCAACCAAATAGTGAAAACAACAATTTCTGAGTACATTTGGCCAATCTCATTTTAGATAAGAAACAATAAAATGAAACCAGATGGTTACATGATCTTAAGATAAATGTGGCCCTCTTCAAGAGAGATGAATAGAACCTTCTCTAAAGAAAACAGATGAATGGCTAGCAAACATATGAAGAAATGCTCATCGTCCCTAATTATTAGAGAAATACAAATCAAAATCACCCTAAGATAGCATCTATCCCCAGCAAGAATGACCCACATCACAAAATCTCAAAACTGCAGATGCTGGTGTGGATGTGGAGAGAAAGGAACACTTTTACACTGCTGGTGGGACTGCAAACTAATACAATCTTTTTGGAAGGAAGTATGGAGAACCCTCAAAGAATTCAAGCTAGACCTCCCATTTGATCCTATAATCCCATTACCTCTGGGCATCCACCCAGAAGGAAAAAAATCCTTTCATCATAAGGATACTTGCACTAGACTGTTTACTGCAGCTCAATTTACAATCACCAAAATGAGAAAACAGCCTAAATGCCCACCAACCCAGGAATGGATTAACAAGCTGTGGTATGTGTATACCATGGAATACTATTCAGCCACTAAAAAAGATGGAGACTTTACATCCCTTGTATTAACCTGGATGGAAGTGGAACACATTATTCTTAGTAAAGCATCACAAGAATGGAGAAGCATAAATCCTGTGTACTCAATTTTGATATGAGGACAATTAATGACCTAGTACACAGTGGGGGATGGGGGAAGGGGAGAGCAAAGAGAGAGAGGAGTGGGGTGGGGGAAAGGAAGAACAGAGAGAGAAGGAAGGACAGAGGGGGTGGGAGAAGAGATGAGCAGAAAAAAGGGAGGAGAGAGGGGGTGGGGGGTCCTCAGTGTGTGACACACCTTTTAGGGTCAAGACACAATTTTAAGAGGGACTATATCTAACAAATCTAATCAGTGTAACCTGGTTTCTTGTACCTTCAATGAATCCCCAACAATAAAACTTAAATAAATGTAGCCCTTTTGAAATTCAGAAGTAATCTTCCTCCTAGTTACTTTGAAAGTGATGGCTCATGCCTGTAACAAGGTGAATGGATTGCCTGAGCTCAGGAGTTTGAGACCAGCAAGACCCCATCTCTAAAAAAATAGCCAGTGGGGGGTGTGTGTGTGTGTGCATGCGCATGTGTGTGGCAGGCACCTGTAGTCCCAATTACTTGGGAGGCTGAGGCAAGAGAATCACTTGACCTCAAGAGTTTGAGGTTGCTGTGAGCAGCTATGATGGCACAGCACTCTACCAAGGGCCACAAAGTAAAACTCTGACTTCAAAAAAATAAAAATAAATAAAAAGGCCTAACTTAAAAAGAAAAACACCCATTAATTTGTAATATGGCCTGAACTGCTTTTATCAATATAGCAGGAGGAGAAATAGCCTGGTACAGGGGCCAGGAGTCTTGGGAAGTGGCAAGGTTTATAGAGGGTTAGAGGCTCTAGGGTTTGCTCTCCCCCCACTCTGCTGGGGGACAGCAGTAAACTCAAGCCTGCTGTGTGCTGAAGAGACCAAAGGGACTGACTGCTCCTCACCTCTAGAAGCCACCTCTAGGCAAGACAGAATTTGTTCAAGTCTACAAAAGATAGGAGATCAAAAACCACAGGAGAAAGACAAAAGCATTAACTGCATGCTTTCTTGTATGCTAATTCATGAACCTGCTACTTACAGATTCTGAGTTCAACATTTAGCTACAGGGTCACAGTATTTACAGATAAACCTCCTAGAAAAAGAAAATCTACCTCACCAAGGTTACCTTTTTCCACCAAAAATAGAATTTTAAGCCCCATAATGTTACCCTTCTTAATAGTTCATTACTTCCGATATCACACTAGACTCTGGCCTCCCATAAGACACACGCCCAGATGACTCCACTGCAGCTGGAGCACACTCTACCCCAGGGGTCCTCAAACTTTTTAAACAGGGGGCCAGTTCACTGTCCCTCAGACCGTTGGAGGGCCAGACTGCCGGCCCCGGGACAAGTTGGCTGCTATGCAGGACAGGCAGCCACAGCAAAAACACCTGGCGGGCTGGATAAATGTCCTAGGCAGGATGCATGTGGCCCGCTGGCCATAGTTTGAGGATGCCTGCTCTATCCTACCCCATCCCCAGCAGGTCACAGGACTCCAAGCAGGCTGGTCCCAGGCCAGCTTCCCTCAAGCTGGTGTCACTTGACATCACCTAGTCCTGTAGGCTCTCTGGGCACCAAAAATCTCAGCTCAACCCAAGAAGGGATGGCAGGAGGGCAGGAGAGGTGTGTGGTTTCTGATTTTTATGATTCCCTCGTACAAGTGCAAGTTTAGCAGGGGGAAAGAAGTGACTTCACAGACCCTTTGGTGCCATTCTCCATGCAGGGGCTGATAGTCTTCCTGGGGCAGGTCATACTGAAACAGGGTAGGCCTTAATCTAACTGACTCCTTATGAGAGGGGCGGCTGGTCTAAGTGGTGTTTACAATTGATAGATCATAACCAGTTACAGAGTTCTCTGTTCCTTCTCCACTCCCACTGCTTCACTTGAGAAACCTAAAATAAGTAATTTTTTAAAAAGAGAGAGAGAGAAGAGAGGAGACACAGGAGACGGACACACAGGGAGAAGATGGCCCGTGTGCTGTTGTATGCAGACCAGAGAGATTCAAGGACCACCAAGTACTGCCAGCAACTATCAGAACTGAAAGCAAGGTACAGAACGGTTTCTCCACCATCAGGGCCTCCAGAAAGAACCCACCCAGCTGACGCCTTAATTTCAGACTTTAGAGAATTGTAAGAGAATAAATCTCTGTTGTTTTAAGCCACCCGGTTTGTGGCACTTTGTTACAACACCGCTGGGAAACTAATCCAGGTTGCAAAGAGGGAAGCAGTAAGGGGAGCAATGATAACGTTGCAGGCCCGGCCCAGGTTGGCAGGGTAAGGGGTGAGGAGATTAGGATTCCCTGTATGCTTTGACTGATAGCAGTGCCTAAAGATTTGCTGACATTAGGCATGTGAAGCCTGGGAGAGAGGAACTGAGGATGACTATGAGATTCTGACCCCTGAGCAACCG